ATGGGGGAGGTCATCGCTGAGAATGGAGATATCACCAGCGACGACCGCTTCTTCTTCGTCAAAATTTATCCTTTTCTTCTTCCGCGAATCCATCGACATGGAAGAGGAGCATGAAAACTGGTTATGGAGCTTTAGACGCGGAAAGTTGATTCCTTTTCCTTATTATTAATATTAGGAAGAAGCGGTTGTGAATCAACGAAGTGGAGAATTTTGTGCTCCACCGCGAGTTAGAATGGAAGCGAGACAACGACGCGAAATCAAAATACAAAACTACTTGAAAATTTATAAAATTAATATTTTTAAAAATTCATAAAACTGAAAGGGGCATTTACATATATTGCCGCACTATTCTTATATATTGACACATGCAACACCGAAACTTTAACATATGCATTCATAAAACTCAAATCCCCACCATCATATGAAGAATATCACATTTACTAACTTTTTAAAAGCAAAAATACATATTTTAATGCATAAATTTATACAAAAAAATCAAATTTTTTGTGTAACATAAGTTAATCCATAAGAATTGTGTACGTCCCAATCTAAAATTATTAAATTTACCAGCCATAAATTTTATGTACATTTAGTTTGTTTGAAGTGACTATAAAATATTGAAAAGATGCTTATAAAAATATTGCAATAAAAATAAAATTTTAAAAGTGATTGTAAATACTACAATAAGAAAATAATAACAAATAACGTCTTCATAATTGTCATATTTTAATAAATTTGATTGCAAAAAATATATATATATTTTTTATCATAAATCAATTATTGAAACAACAAAACATAACAATCAAATAAAACTGTGATTAAGTTGTGAGAAAGCGGTGGAAACCGACGCAAGGTCTGTCTGCGCTGCCCCAAGAAGCTGCTGCGGGGATGCTGATTGCTTGTTTGTTGCAGCTGCGTGAAACAGCTGTGGGGCAGCTGTTTCTGAAAAAATTACTATTCTGCAAGAACATCCTGTCTCTGTACAGTATTTATGTATGTAAAAGAAGATAAAATAATTTTTTATATTAAAAATTTTTTTTTATGAAACAATAAATTAACATTAATTAATAATTAATTAGTTTTATTAATTTACTAAACTTATATGTTTATCAAATAATTTAAAATTTAAAAATATGTTGATGAAATAACTAATTAATCCTTAAGTAATAATATATAATTTAATCTAATAATAGTTAAAATGAAATATATGAAATAATGATCAATTATTAATGAAATAAATCAATAAAATTAAATCGAAAGTATTTACATATCTAACACTTAAACTTTTTTATTATTATTACTTTTTTACATTTATACCACTAAAAGCTTTCATATCACATAAAAAATACCACAATATTAACTTTTAAAGTTAAACAAACCTTCTCATGTATAGTTAAGGTGGTATGTACGTAAAAAATAAGATGGTTCTGAGCGGCAGTCCGCACATCTTCCTTAGCTTCCTCTATTTTCTCACATTTAACTCAGATAGCTTAAGAATTTTAGGCAATTATAAACATCTGATTGCTTCTAGTCCAGCCAACACTTCTGATTATATACAATTATATAGCTTCAATTAAGAATTATAGAAAGTTATAGACTTCCTTTATTCGCTCACAAACTCCCTCTATTTGCTCACATTTCAAACACATAGCTCGAAAGATGGCAAAGCCGAGATGAATTCTGCATGTAAAACTTGGAGTAGATTGTATATGAGGGATATGAGGAAGCACTTGACTGCTCAGATGTTGTACAGAACAGATCTATATTTTGGTACTAATAATGTTAAGGCATAATAAAACTAATGTTTGGCCTTTTCCTGTTATGCTTGGCTGTTTTTTTACATAACCAGAAGTCATGCCCTTAGCTTTAACTTCCTAAAAAAACAAATAACAACTGAAGTGGTTGAATTAAAAAGAACATTTTTTTACATTGTAATAAGCTTATTTAAAACAGTTTAATTTATATATATTAAAAAAAGAAATGTGATATTTAATCAGAAAATTTAGGAGGATTAAAACATTTGAATTGGTGACAGATTACAACAATGTTTTAGCAAAAGTAGTACAGATCAATTGAAGTACAATTTAAGAACAAAAGGATTATAGTGGCTCAATGTCAATTGAAGCCTAGATCAATTGAAGCACAATCTAAGAACAAAAGGGTTATAGTGGCTCAGTATCTCTCTGTACTTGAACTTTGCGATAATATGTTGCCAACCTCATTAAATATTGTTTCTTTCTCCCAGAATGCCGGTGTACTAGTCTCTTTAGTCTTGTTAGTCATTGTTTTGCTAAAATAGAACAAGTTATTGTAACATAACAATAAAAAATAATTTTACTCTAGGAATAAAATGCTACTAAAATAGGTGTAGGGTTGATGACCATGCAAATCTATCAACTATATTTAACAGAATATATAAAGAAGCCTTGGCTCTGTTTCACTACAAAACCAGTTCTACATGATAGCTTATAGAGAACCTTATGATTGTGTGTAATGCAATCTGTTTTGAATAACGCAATGCTTATCTTTATGCTACCTGATTAAAAATGACGGTAATTTAATGAAAAAAATAGAATTTGAAAATGCTTCAGAAATCTGCTACTTTTTCAGCATTTATATAACTTAGTAATGCATTTCAATAATGATTCTAGGCTGTAAATATCCAAATCACCCTTTTCAAGGGTGCTTGAGTTGTAAATTATGCCTTTATCTGTAAACTACACTTGTATTATATTGTCACAAACTGAAAATTATTAATGTTAAAGATAACTAAAAAAGGATTAACGGTATTCAAAGTAACATGGATCTCAATTAATTTATTCACATCGACAAAGCATCAAAAGAAAACCATAGAATACATCAGGATCTCAACCAAGCAAGGCTGCCAATTAAAAATTTCAGTTGTAAGTTAACAAACACCCAAGTTTCATAAACAATTGATCTATTCACGGTTCCTTGCCGCTTGCATCGAAGTCTCTTAAGTAATTTGTTCAATCTGATCACGTAGCTCCTTAGATTGTTTATCACAATCAAACCACAATTTAATTACAAATTAAAAGATGTCTTTTTGTGGAATATCGAGAGATTCAACATGAAAAATAGTATTACAAGAGCTTGCGCCAGCATTATTTGATAGAACTTATGATGAATTTTTAAATCCATGTTTCAGGGGCTAATGGTAGACATAACCTAAAGAGGAACTCTTATAATTTTGAAAATAAAACTAAAAAAAGATAAGGCATTATTTTGTAGGACTCTCTTGAATCCTTGTACTATGATTTCTCAAAGAACTACAATAAGGAGTGTCAGGGATACAAAAACCACCGAGAAGCACAACAACAAAATATGAAGAAAAAATTAGGAGCAGAAATACCGATCAAGAGTACTGGCACCAATCAGGAGTCGACAATTTGGTGACGGTGGAAGAGGAGTAGCGGCGTAGCGGGGGGAGGAGCTGCAGAGGCTTCACGACGATCACGGGAGCAGCGCGGTTTCATGAACAAGGGTGCTGCGGCTTCGAGCGGGGCAATGCCGGAAATAATAATCGCGAACACGGGGCCGCGGGGTTGATCCCGCTGCCCTACTTCAGTGGCGAGCTGCAGCGAACGTTGAGCGAAAGCGAAAAAATAAAATAGGGGCTGCGCCGCTCTAAAAAAGCGGCCCCTTATTGCACACGGATACCGCACATTTGGTGTCCAATCATGACCGTAACATGCAATCAAAATTTTTTTTAAAAAAGAAGACTGTTATGGTATGGCTCATATACCATATCGGGACAGACGCTGGATCGAACCTGCAGCATCCGAGCGTTCACCGGCCATAAAAGCTTTGCCTTTTCAAAGCTCTCGAAGTCCCAAACACCGATCCCGCCATGGATATTTCTTGCACCACACTCTCCTCATGGAAATCAGCGCTGTCGAGCTACGATATCAGCCTCGAATCACTTTACAAACCCGACCTCATACCCCTCGACGCCTTCTACCGCAAGGAACTCCCTCTCCTCATTCAGCAGCGAGAACCCCATCCCTTCGTCACCCAGCCAGAACTCCGTCGACTGCTCCAATGGAAGCTTTCCCGAGGAAAATGGCGGTAGGTATACCCAAATCCAGTCCCACTCTCAACGCTAACTGCTTCCATTCTCTCAACCTTTTTATTTATTTTTCTATTTCGAAAGCCCTCGGCTATTGGAGTTCGTTTCTTCACTCTCCGAAACCCTAGTGGAATCGGCTTCCAAAAGGGCTTTCGCTTCTCTTCCTGATCTGACCAAGGCGGTGTCCGAGCTGACAATACTGAAGGGCGTGGGTCCGGCGACTGCATCGGCGGTTCTTGCTGCTTATGCGCCGGAAGTGGCTCCGTTCATGTCAGATGAGGTGAGTTTGGATATGGATTTGGGTCAATGCCTTTTTGGTTCATGTTAAAGATAACAGTTTTGGTTTCTTCCAAGGCTATGGTGGCTACATTGGGCAATGCTAAAGAATATACTCTGAAGAAGTACATCTCTTTTGCAGAGATCTTGCAGAAGAAGGCAAAGGTCAGTACCTTTTTTTTGTTTGGGAATTATGAGTCATAGCTCTACGAAGTTAAAAAGAAATGCATTTTACTCAAAATGACTAAGAAGAACAAGTGCAATTACATAGCTCATCGATAAAAACCAAATGAATCAAAACCAAAAACATAGAATCAACAATATCTGCTCAATCAAGGATCTAGTTAGGCTCAATAACAGCCATAAGGAGGTTGCTCCGACCAACAAAATAACTAAAAATAGCCATTCAGAGCACAAGGATAGCGTTGGCGGATGCCAATATCATCGTATATAGTCACCATCCGCCACGTGTAGTAAGCGCAATAAAGTGGTAAATTGCAAACATCTGATATGGTTTTGTAAATTGCAAACATCTGATATGGTTTTTTTACTTTCTATGCTTTTGGTAAAATTGGAATTTATTTATGAGTAACATGTTTTCAGTGCTTACACATTTTTTGGTAAAATTGGAATTTATTTATGAGTAACATGTTTTCAGTGCTTGCACATTTAATGAAGTGTATAGTTACCACAACAACATCTAGGAATATCTTCACTGATTTTATTGCCGCAAAATGGAGCACAAGTCCTCACCAATTCATTTTCTACTCATAAAGGACCCAAAGATGTCAGTAAAACTGCATCCATTCATGGATAACATTCTCGGTGTTGCTTTGAGATGCCCACGCTATGAATTGCTCATCCATCCTATCACGGGAAAATTACGAAGTCTCTGTATGCTCAGGTTCCTACGAAATCACCTTTGATATTGCTGATCTCTTGGGAATTACTGAACATTATTGATTGCTTTATTTCATGATAGAAAGTGTTGTTATTTGTATAAACTGAGTTTTGATTGATGCTAGTTTTTTACTTCATCTCATGAGTGCTAAGATGCTCTAGTGGTTGAGTCTCAATTGTCACCTTGTTTGAAAACTATGCAATATGAGAACTGTCTCAATGCATTTCGAGAAAATTTGCAATGAAACTTATACCTTATTGTATACTACAGGAGGTTTACTCATCACATAATATCTATAAATATTTCTTGCTTACCCATATAATATATAATTTAGCCCATATAGTATTACTCTCTCAGTTTTGGTGAGGCATGCACAATCAAATCTAGGAATTTCCTTGAAGTAAATTCAAGTAACACTAATGAACATTTGAGGGCCGGCTCCCATATGTGCCGACCTTGTTGTGTTGCGCCATATGAAGGGCACATATGTGCTCATAAGCGTTGTCTGCTTTGGCTCCACACCAAAACAATCTCCACTTGGAGATGATAGCACTGAGCACCAACCCTCTATACCTGTAGCTCCATCTGAATAACCTTCATAGTCACATACCGTGGTTATGGTGGTGTGGCTCACACCCGGTCTCAACCTCCATGAAACATAATTCAAGCCAAACATAGCTTCAGTTTCTCAATAGTCACGACATTCGTCAACTTATCCACAGGATTTTGAGCTGTGTGTATCTTTTCCAGAAACAACTGCCCATTTTCAAAAAGAGAGCGAAAAATGTTACCTCAGCTGAATGTGTCATCTTGGCATAAAAAATAACTTTTTAGCAAGATGAATTACATTCATACTGTCATTATAGAGTTTTCTAATCCTCTGTTCCTTGTTAGCCTCAGTGATAGCAATATGTTTGGTCTTTGTAGTGAAAGTGGTTGCAAAAACTCAACTCACCGCTATGCTCTATAATGTGAAGATATACTCTGTTGTACTTCTCCTACTATTCACATCTCCTACCAGATTTGAATCTACAAATTCCTGTAGACTGATCCCCACACTTTTATAGCAAAGTACTTGGTTGATTGTTCCCCTCAAATATCCGAGAATCTATTTTACCACCTCCCAATGATGTCTTCCTGGATTGCTTATGAAACTGCTGACCACTCCCACTGTATATGCAATATTTGGCTTGGTACAAATCATCGCATACATCAAACTTCCAACCGCTGAATCATACCAAGTTCTCTCCATCTGTGCTTGCTTTGCTTCAGAGTTTGATGATGGCTCATTAGATAGTTTGAAGTGACTACCTAAGAGAGTGCTAACTGGTTTCACCTCACTCATGTTGAACCTCTTTAGGATCTTCTCAACATACTCTGCCTGAGACATTTTTAATGTCCCTGCACTTCCATTCCTGCTCATTCCAATGGTCTTTCTGTTTTGACCTATATCTCTCATCTCAAACTCCCTTAATAATTGTTTTTTCAAGTTTCTGATTTTCTTCATATTTGTCTCTGCAATCAGCATGTAGTCCACATACAAAAGAAGCAAAATATAACATTCGCCTAAGTGTTTGATAAAACAATAATGGTGTGCCTGACACTTAATGTACCTATTGTCTGACAAGAACTTGTCAAACATTCTGTACCTCTGTCTTGGGGTCTACTTCAAGCCATAGAGACCCATCTCCAATCTGCAGACCAAATCTCTTTTGCCTGGAACCTTATAATCTTGTGGTTGCATCATTCATAGCTCCTCTTTCATATCTCTATGTAAGAAAACTGTTTTTACATCCATCTGTTTCAGATGTAGATCTTCTTTTGTTACTAGACTCGACACAATCATGATAGTCGTCATCTTCACCACTGGGGAGAAAATCTCTCTATATTCACATTCCCTCTGTTGGAAACCCTTTAAATTAAGTTTTGCCTTGTAGCGTTTGCTACCATCTGACTTTTTTATTAGCCTGTAGACCCACTTGTTACGTAGTGCTCTTTTGCCATTTGGTAATATCATCAAATTCCAAATCTAATTTGACTCTAAAGATTGTGTTTCTTCTTGCATGACGAACTCTCACTTCTTTGAATCTTCGACTTGAGTGGCCTCTTCAAAGCACTCTGATTCACCACTTTCAATTAGTAATAAGTATTGTAAGGAAGGAGAATATCTTTGTGCGGGTCGTATTACTTTGCTGGATCTTCTGACATCTGTAGCAGGTGACTAAGAAACTTTTAGTGCTCCTCTGGTTGAGCACTTCTTTTTTCTCCACATTCATGATCACCATTATCATCTATCTCAACATATTTGAATTCTTCAAAAGTAGCTGACGAACTGTCTTGAGTTTTGACTCATCATTATACACCTCCATTTTATTGAAAATGACGTCTGCTCCTGATGAATTTCTGATTCTGATAATCCTAGAACTTCTGATTCTGATAAACCTAGAACTTGTACTCAAATTCATCTGAGCCATATATAATGAAGATGCACTTGACAGATTTTGAGTCAAGTTTGTTCTTGGATCCTGCATCAACATGTACATATGCAGAACATCCAAATGCTCTTAAATGAGATATTCATACTTTTTTGTCACTCCAGACTTTTTCAAGTATGTCTTCCTCTAAAGGTACTGATGGACTATGGTTAATCAGATAAACTGTTGTGTTTACTGCTTCATCCCATAACTGTTTTGACAAGTCGACATGCAATCTCATGCTCTTGGCGTGCTCCGTGATTGTTCTGTTCATGCGTTCAGCCACTCCATCATTCTACTGCGGTGTTCTTGGGACAGTAAACTCATGTCTGACCCCTTCTGTATCACAAAAATTCCTAAACTTATGATCACGGTACTTGCCCTCATTATCTAATTTGACTCATTTCAGTTTTATGTCTATCTCATTTTCTACCATAGTCTTCTACTTCTTAAAGATTTCAAATACATCAGATTTTTTTTTGCTTTAAGAAATAAACTCATTTTTTTCTCGTGTGATCATCAATAAATGTGACAAAATAGCGAGAACCTCTAATGGATTAAACGGGAATAGGACCTCATATGCCAATATGCACTAATTCTGATTTCTTTGATTTCACCATTGACCCACTCTTTAAGAAAGAAATATTCTTCTGCTTGTCATATATACAATATTTACAGAAATCTAGATTAACTGATTTCAAACCCCAAGCTTATGCTTTGAAAGTAAGGGCTCCTTACATTTCTTGCTCGTATGACTAAGCCTACGGTGTCACAGACCTGCATTCACTTTGGTTCCCATCATTTCATTGATCAAATAAATGATTCCTACAATGTTGCCCCAAGCCATCACTAATACCCCTTAGTCACCTTCCATGAATTATCTGTGAAAGTAGTTACAAGTCTCAACTTTGTCAGCTGACTTATATAGATAAAAATTTTTTCAAACTTGGAACATCTCTAACTTTAGTTATCTTCCAGATTGTTCCATTTGACAATTTGATATCAGCGCAAGTTTTTTCTACTATACCGCATGTCTTGTTATCTCCCAAATAAATCTTCTCTAAATCATTCTGAGTGTGGTTATTAAATAACTCTTTATTGGGGCTAGCATGAAAAGAGACACTTGAATCCACCCTCCAGGATTCAATGTTGACTAGAGATAACACCAGAAAGTCACTTTCGATTTCACTAGTGGATACATTAGTAGAGAAACTACTTTCCTGTCCTTCACTACCAGCTTTCATTAGATTTTTGCGGTCATTCTTGAAATGCCCTTTCTTATCGCAGTTCCAACATTCACCTCTGCTTGACTTGGGTTTGGTTCTGCCTCTGTCTGTATTCCTGCCCAGATTCTTTACTCTGTTATCAACATTCAACACAGGACTTGAAGATTCACCATTCGCAGCTTTTCTGCAAATTTCTTCATTAACTATCAAACCCATGATATTATCAAAGTTCAACTTTAAAGTCTCAGAAGAATTACTCACCGTTGTTACCAAACCAACTCAGCTTTTTGACAATGAAGATAGTATCACTTGTGCTCTGACCTCATTATCAAACTTGATCCCCACAGAATACAACTGACTCGTCATAGTGTTGTAGTTATTGAGATGCTCTGCCACTGAACTGTCTTCCAACATTAACATGTTGAATAATTTCTTCATAAAAAAAACCTTATTGAAAGCAAAAGGTTTTCGTTCATCTTGGCTAGTGCAATCATGAGATCCACCGTAGTTTTCTCATTCACAATGTTGAATGCAACATATAAGGAAAGTGATAACCTGATCAAATCTATTGTTGTTTGATCCAATACTTCCCATTCTTCTATAAGCATAGACTCAAACTTCCTTGTGATTCTTTGCAGTGACAAACAGTGACATTTAATTTTTTATGATACAACAAATCCTCCACCTGCATCTTCTAGAAATTGAAGTTCGTCCTATTAAACTTCTCCACTTTGAACTTTGCTTCTTCGGCCATTGCTCCCACTCGAATCAAACCCCCCTCTGATACCAGTTTGATAGGGAAATTCAAGAATAATTTTCAACTTTACTGGGGCTTATGATCAATTAGAAACTAAATCACACCGCGGAATAACAAGATCGTGCCAATTCAATAAAACCGAAAAAAGTCTAAGTAGAAAGCACAATTAAAATAACGAGAAAATCACACGAGAATTTTCATGGGAATACTCGAGAATGGGAAATAACCAATGAGCCACACTCACAGAAGTTTATACACAAAGAAACTTACAAGAAAAACACCACAATCTTTTCTCTCCGACTAAATGCAAAAATCACGTTGAATCACCTAAATTCACCTTTTTAATATTTCTCACATTCAACGTGATACTCGTCGAAAAATTTCAAAGGAAGAATCACCAAGCCTCGTGGAAAATGCTCGAAATCGGGATTAAAAACAGAAATCAACTGCTCTTGGCGCTTAGGTGCCAAACTCTCGAGAAGTAGAAAATCGCGCCCAACACATTTTGTGCTTAGCGCCCACGGCTCCTACACTTGAGCCCAATGTGGGCGTATAGGCGCCAAATGGCCAGCTCTGGTCGGTGCATATGCTCCGACCTTGCTGTGCCACGCCTTATGCCCCACATCATAACAATTCTTGGTCGAATTCCTTCTAGGATTGACAACCAGTTAGAATCAAATCGATGTTTCTGACCCTCACAGCCGTGATGTCCTCCTTAATGAATCTTGATGTGGTAAATAAGGTTGCAAAAGGGAAGAGAAGAAGAAGTTAATGATTCCGGATAAACAAATTGAATCAAATAATATAATGAAAGAAGATCACCGCAACTAGAGATGTATTGCTATAGACAAACGGGAAATTAACCAAAAAAGTTATGGGGGGCAGTCGAATAAGGGATTTCGGAAGAAGAGGGAGAGAGAGAAATATGTTCACAAATTCTGAGCAAGAATTAGGATTAGGAAGCCAAAGCTCTGATATTATTGCTTTAGTACAATTACTGAAATAAAGTAGCTGATACTTAAATGCCTCGAGGCTTAAGCCTTGCTTGCACGAACAAAAAACTACCTTTCCATTATGAGTCTGGTACTTCTTTCTAAGCACTCTTGGAAAGATTGTGGCTTCACGAGTATTGTGTAGTGCCTTCCAGTCCCCACATATATGAAATACAGTTTAAATGATGAGGAGCACGAATGGAGGGTAACATGCAACCATTCTAGATTCATGAGGTTTAAATGTGATGATGCTAATATTTCATCGCCAAACTCAAAGGAACCAAATCTCTGCAGTTACAAAACAGTCAGCATGAGAGTCTACAAAAGATTGGTAGTTGGAGAAAAGGAAGGATGGGCTCAAATAGAGAGCAAAATATTTGGGTTAGGATATCTTGAATCAAATTTAGTCATTATGAATTTTAAATAAAATTCAGTTACTTCGATCCTATTTAGAAGAGAGAGAGAGAGATACAAATTATTTGATACTTCTTAATCTTCGACTCTTTCTACATCCTTTCAGATTTATTAATACAAAAAAAAAAAAAAAAACATAGTCACAATACCAATGTGAATCATTAAACATGAAATCCATCAACTCTATGAGTTTTTACTTCTTATCAACTGAGGCATAATAAAGAAAGTTAAGGCATTTGATATTGTTTTACAGGAGTTAAGTACGGAGAAAGAGGCTTTCACCCCTTCAGATGTGGAGAGGGCATTGTGGAGCTCTGCAATTGCCTCAAAGCTTTGTCCCGCACCAGAGGAGAATACAGACCTTATTCCCAAGAGAAGTGTTAAGAGAAAAAGATCGTGAAACCAAGTAATTCTTGTGTGCTTATCTCGAATTTTTTATGCTTCCTGTAACAGTCAACCGATGGATAGATGTTTTTCTGTCTGATTTTAATCAGTTTTTATGCCAACAGAGATTTGGTTATACTCAATCTTCTTAAATTATCTCACATCTACTTATCCCTTCTGATTGATTAGAGTCCGTTTTCAAAACATGGGCCCTTGTTTGGGGTTCATATGGCTGGTCCAGATTTGTTCCTCACACACAGCAGCAGATCAGTCATTTAATCAAATTTAACTTTTTCATAGAAATGTTCATAACCATATTACAAATTTTAACTTCTATACTTTTTAATTATTATTATTAAAAGAACCAAGCTATCTAATAAGACATTGTTTGTCTCTTATCAAAATTAACATCCAAATGGATTGATTCATAATCATTCTCAAGAGTGAACTTGATTTGTTTTCAAATCGATAATTTTAAGAAAATTAATTTACTCGGATTCGATTTGCTTGGCCGATGATTCAAACTAATTGAATTAATGCAAAACATGTGTTGACCATGAATGTAAAGAGTTAGGTGCGCGTGCATGAGTGGGGGTGGGTGTGTGCATGGTTGCGTAGGTGCGAGTCTGCGCGTGGGTGTGTACGTGTGTGCTGTAACAGGCCCATTCCCTATGAAGCAACTGATCGGGCAAAGAATATCCAGTGATCATGCATTACTGTAATTTTTTTTGGGGGTAATTTACACATGTATTTATCGAACACCAAAACTTTTATATTTACATCCATACCACTCAAATTGATAACATGATATAAGAAATACCACTATTATCACATCAAAATACAAACATCTCTATCTTTTTAAAATAAAATTTACCTTTGCATGCATTGGTTTATGACAACAATGTGTAATAAGAGTAAATATCAAAATTTCGGCATATTATATATATATATTCGAAAAGGAATGGCCAGAGGCTATGATACGAGCTCAGGCCATCCCTCATGCACCTATAATTTGAGTACCACACCCCACACTCAGGGGGAATCAAATCCCAAATCAAAGGAGACTTACATAAGAATTGTACATATGTATGTATATTTCCCTTCTTTTAATGTAAAACCTGTAGTGTTACAATATCAGCAAAAACCGATATGTAATTATACAAATTAAATAACAAACTTCTTGCACTCACCAACTAGTTCCTTCAGATTCTGAAAGCAAACAGTGATCACAGTTCTTACCATTCAATTTATTAGTGCACGAAGCAAATTGGGCACTATGTGAAGTCTGTAAAAGTTTGAGAATTCTCTGTATTCCAAAAATGTCCAAAGCAGACCAAATCACCAATCTATAAAAATAGATCTCAACAAATTGCGGAATTCCAATATGGATTTCATAAAAAAAAAAGCACAAAGTTGTGTTCCTGATGCAGACAGCATAGAATTTGCAAACTTCAGCAGCGTTTTCTGCCCTTTTTCCGCTTATTTCGCTATGTAAACCTTTAATCCATACAAAACGATTGAAAATTCATTAACCTACAGGCTGAACTCCATTCCATGCATCGTTACTGCTGTTAAATTTGTTGATTCTGTACATATAGTTGAATTGGTTTTCCTTAATGTAAGATACTCCAGACCATATTCCACGAACAAGCAGAATACTCACAAACACCATGCTTCCAATCATGCAGACCACCTGAAGCATTAATGGGAATTTCTATAATTAGACCAAATAGCATTTTGAATGTAGTGTGGTTACTGTGCAGCTCATCTGGTTTCGTAGTTGGGTGTTTTGTCTACAACCATAAGATCTTGATTTCATGACTTACCACATACATGTGTATGCGTGATTTAAAAAATATATATATAGTGAAGTTAGTGCTAATTCAATAATTAGAGAATTTTACACGGAACAAGCTTGAAATTTCATTTATATGCTCGGTGAAGTGTTTAGGGAAAATTGCAATCAATGACATAAAAAAAAACTCACTAGCAACAAAAAAATAAATGTAATATGATTGCGCAGCCTGATAATTATGTGCTTTATCTCCAACTATAAGGTCATGGGTTCAAAGCCTATCATATTGGAATGAATTTAAAAAAATAAAGAGAGAACGAGATCTATGTGGTTTGGTGTGGTTGTAGTTTATGGTTTATAAGAGTTGACAAGATCAGCATAAATCTATAATGCAAACAGGCTCAAGAGAAAAATCTTCCGAACTCTCAAAAACACCCAAATCTCATCAAAAAGGGAAGGAATAAAACTGTCAATATAAATTTCATTCAAAACTTTTGAATTCATTGGAGAAAATAAAATGACAAAAAACTCAGATGTCTAATTCTCAGCTTCTCAATATCAAAAACAGCATGAAAGAAGAGCCAAATCCCCTTTAGTCGTCATATCCAAATAAAGAGAACTAGTATTTCATGCTTCATATGTATCAGCAACCCCCTCATGTATTTTGACATGTACGGGTTCCATTTCTGTGTTCTAATGTCTTCTCCTTCTTAACAAAAAAAAAAGGCTTTTCTAAAAGGCCTTTCTGGCAGCATAAGGCGTCAACACGAACTAGAATCATCAAACGCTGATTCAGCTTAAAGAAAGAAATGTAATTTTTTGAAATAAATAAAACTATCTAAATGATGTAAAATAGCCCGTGCATAATCCAACTGCAATAGGTGTTTCATTGAAGCAAGCATTAGCTTTGAACTTATTTAACCAGCTAAAATATTAAAAAAACCAAGCATCAGCGCATTGGCTTGTAGTCATGAAAAGTTTTGGTCGGCAAACTGTTCAGCTAGATCTTTCAAAAGAAGACAATTTATAGATATATTCTAAACAATTAAGCTAAAAAGTAAGTTCTCCAACAGCGCTACGAAGAGTTCCACGATAAAAATATGCAGAATTACCTCTAGAAACGCCTTTAGAAGCCATAAGAACGCTAACATCAACACCCCATTCACTGTAAATCGCACCTATTCCGAATCACAACCGACCAAATCAGGGAAACCATAAATAACTCTCCTTGAAATAATAATAATTAAAAAAAAGACACATCTTTGCAAAAATAATGAAGAAAACAAGGGGTGTCCAAGCGAGTCGAACCAATTTGGTGGAAATTGAAGGGGGTAAGACTGATCGAACAGTCCTTCGAGCTCGCCGGGAGATTTTCCGGAACATGTTCTGCAACAATCGGGCGAAAAGGTCCAAGCTCCTGTCATCCTCTTCCTCCTCTTCATCATCGTCTTCGTCAAGCTCACCACCGAGGTCCGCAGCGCCGAAATCGCCTACCCAAGCGCGAGGGTCCGGCACAACTGCCACTGCTTCCTGGACAGCAATCGAATTTTTTTCAATTCCATGAACTTATAGCTGGAGAATTTCATGAAAACAGTGGAGAGCGAGGGAAAAGGAGGTACCTTGGAGTAGTTAGGGTATCCTCTGGAAGCTCGACGAGACAATGGGAATCGAGAAGGGTTTGGTATTGGAAGGAAAGAGAGGAGAAGATGGTGCTCTTTAAGGGGTTTAGGGTTTTGCGATCGGACCCTCGAAGGGGACAGAAAGAAAGATGAACTGGAGGAAGCCATGGAAGAGAAACTAGAACTAGGGGTGGGGGCTGTCAACTTTATCCAAGCAATTGGGTTGTTTGACTTGAGAAGGATTTAACCCTGATTGGATTTAGTAATCCTCTAAATTTGAATTTTGCAAAATTATGTGCTAATTAAAATTTAAAAGTTATTTCGCATGAGAGGGAATAAATTGAATTAATTGATTTTTGGATAAAGTTATTTATTATATATTGTAAGATTTAAGGAAATTAGCTCCATTGTAAGATTTAGGAAGAATACCTTGCAATGAAATTAGAACAGTTTATAAAACCTTAGCTAATGATAATCATTAACAGGCAGCAGAACAACGATAGCTAATTGATCATGATGATGAATGTTTTTTTGTCTCATTGCGAGTGATTAAGGGCCCATTTTGGGCGGCTTATAAGTGCGGAAAGACATTTTGAAAACGCCGTCTCAACGTTTGGAAAATAAGTTTCTGCAGCTTATCTAAACGAAAATACGGTGGAGTTTTTACACTAAAATGAGGCCGCGGGTTGAACCCTGCATGCCACCTGCGAGCCGCGTTTCAGGATAAGTTATTTATCCGGATGAGCACAAGCAGCCCCAAACATACCCTAAATTAATGCGTCAGAAAATAACCAATTAAGACTAAATAATATTTTATCTCACTAGAAATTTTTACTCTTGGATAGTTGGATTGCATGTTTTTTAGGATCTTCAACTTTGACTTCTACCTCATCCAATTTAATATGGCATGCAATCTCAATCTGAGCTATGTTGAAGTATATATATCTTAGGTCATATCAATCTATAAAATTGTGCGACACTGCACAAGAAAGTATAATATTTGTCTATATAGTCAGAGCAAATTATTGTATGTGAATTAGCACTTGATTTATCTTTATCCTCCACTATATCACATATTTGGTGCTGATGATAATCATGGAACTACTGATTGATACTTTGATAGTACTATCAAACTGACTGTTTTGACCTGGCGATCGTAATGAAGCTAAATTGATTCTGTTTGAGTCCGATCAAGCCCAAATTAAGCCGTTGAAATACAATTATAGGATATGGACGGACAATTGAATGGATAAATGGATTCAAAATTTGCAGGTTTATAGTGAAATCGAGCGTCTAGTCGAAGTGAGCCCAACGAGCCAAAGATCAATTGATTTTGATATCATTAAGACATCCAAATACTCATAAAATATTATCCAATCAAAGGGATTATTCTTGGAGTCCGATGAAGTGGACTGGATTTATGCAGTATTTATAGAGGATTTCACACACAAAATTTATAAATGAACTCCAATTCCCTTCAAGAAAGGAGACTTGGAACCCATACTTCAAAGAGAAAGGTGAAGGATCTTCGAGCTCTTGAGAGTTCCTGAGCTCCATCATTGTCTGATCGTTTCTAACTAACCACTACCACCGTCGGACCACCATCACCACTGCCCAGAGGACTGCCGCTGAGTTGTCGTCACCGTCAGAACAAAACTTCCTGGCCACTGCTGTCGAGCCGCTACCATCGCCAAACCACTGCTGCCCGGCCACCACTGTCAAGCCGCCACGAACATTAAGCCATTGTAGTCGATGCCCAATCATTGTCTTTGATCCGCCGATGCCGCCATACCACCCCTGCATGGCCACTGTCGTTGAGCTGTCGCTGCCGATAAATATCTTGCAGCTTGAACACTGATATATAAAGTGTTCGGCTAGGGTTCAGACGCAGGAAGAGCAGGAATCGCAGCGACGCAGGCTTCTTCTAAGGAACAGACGCCGCGATCAGGCGACATGCTACTAGGCGAAGGTTCGCGACAGGCCGGAGGGTTTCGCGTTCGGAGCATCTTCCGCATGCGACAGGCGAGAGGAATTGCGGCACTTTGTTTGAGCGGAGGATCGTGATACAATAGTTCGCGCAAAGAATGAGAGAAATTGGAAGGAAGGAATCTATATTCCCTCAGACTTCTTTTTGTTGGCCACTGATGCATTCCGATTTCAGGGAAAAATTTCCAATTTTGCTCTGCTGAGAAGATAATTGGAAGTAGCGATTTCCTTGGAAGGCTGAGGGAAGAGGCGGTTGCATGAAGGAAAAATCGGAGGAATTCTGATTACCTTTGAAGGTGATTTTTGAAAGGAAGGCTATTTCAGAATTTCCTTTACAGGAAGAGGGAGATCCGTCGCGGAATTTGTTTTTCTGCTGGCCGTGAATTTTGCGCAGGAAATGGAAGTATTTGGCGGAAGATTAATTTTCTTTGCTGGAGGTGTTCGAGGAAAAGAATATTCGTAGTGCAACACAGAAAAGTCAAGGAATATGCGAAAGATCTTGAAAGAATTTTTCAAAAAAAGGTTCGCGGCAGGAGTAATTTTCAGATGATATTTTTTGGTGCGAAATTTGAGGTGATGAATTTCGATGGAACTGGTAATTTTGGATTGTGACAAACAAGAGTAAAAGGTCTGTTGGCTCAACAAGGAATCTTGAAGGCTTTACGGGCAACAAAACCAGATGTCATAGAGGATGAAGATTGAGAAGAATTGCAACAGTGAGCGGCAACAACTATACGCCTATGCCTGACAAATAAAGTTATGTATCACGTGATGAATTTAAAATCTCCAGGGAGATATGAAAGAAATTAGAAAACCAGTTTATGGCCAAATCTCTAACGAACAAGTTATATCTGAAGCAAAAGTTGTATGGGCTGAAGATGCAAGAAGGTTTTGATCTAGCGCAGCACGTGAATGACTTCAATCAAATAATCACGGATTTATCACGGCTTGATGTGAATATCGAGGGTGAAGATCGAGCGATGATTTTGTTGTGTTCATTGCCTTCTTCCTATGTACACCTGGTGACTACTCTGACATATGAGAAAGAGACTATCAAGGTTGATGAGATTACTGCAGTATTGTTGGCTCACAACCAGTGGAAGCAGAATGCAGGAGAAAACTCTCATGACGACAATTTATATGTTAAGGGTAAGCAGGATCGTGGAAGAAAGAAAGAGAAATAGGGTTCTGGAAGGCGAAATTCCAGATCAATGTCTAGAGGCAAAAAAACAATTCATTACTACACGTGCAAGGAGTCAGGTCATATGAAGAGCGATTGTCCAAAGCTTAAGAAGTAGACTGAGGAGAAAAGTACATCATCGAAGTCTGTAAATATGGTGTAGAGTGACAATTCAGATTGCAGTGATGGTGATATGCTTTCAGTTTCATCAACTCAGTTCACGGATGCATGGATTCTTGATTCAGGGTGTTCTTATCACATAACACCTAACAGAGAGTGATTTACTTCTTACATTTTAACTAATTCTGGCTCAATTTAGCTAGTTGATGATAGATGTTGCAATATTGTTGATATTGGAGAGGTTAGAATTAAGATGTATGATGACACAATTAGAATGTTATATGATGTCAGACACATTCGAGATCTGAAGAAGAACTTAATTTCCTTGGGCACTCTTCACAGAAATAGTTTTATTCCTAAGGCTGATAAGGATAGGGAAACCATCAGAATTGTTAAGGGTGCGCTGACGGTGATGAAAGGAAAGTTAACTGCAAGATATATCTACAAACTGTTGGGAGTACAATTGTAGGTGAAGTTCATTCTGTGGAGTCAGATTATGATATTACAAAGCTATGACATATGCGTCTGGGTCATCTCCGTGAACGTGAGATAACAGAATTGCATAGAAGAAACATGTTGCATGGTGTTAAAAATTGCAAGCTCGATCTTTGTAAGTTCTATGTTCTTGGAAAACAGATTAGAGTCAGTTTTATGAATGAAAAACATAAAACTGAAGGGATTCTTGATTATGTGCATTCTGATGTATGGGGCCCTACTAGGGAGTTGTCATAGGAAGGATCTCAGTATTTTGTTACATTTATTGATGCTTTCTCCATGATAGTTTGGGTGTATTTCTTGAAGCAGAAATCTGAATTCTTCTGAAAATTCAAGCTGTGGAAAGCTGAGGTGAAGAACCAAACTGGTAGAAAGATCAAGTATTTGAGATCCGATAATGACACAATCAGAAGTTCTGTGAGGAGCATGGGATTCAGAGGCATTTTTCAGTGCGCAAGACACCACAACAGAATGGTGTGACATAAAGGATGAACAAATCCTTAACTGAAAGGGCAAGGTGCTTGAAACTGAATGCAGGGCTT